CCGGCTCCTGAATGTACCTGAACCCGCTCCAGTATTGGTCAAGTCCTGTCTTGAAAGAGCTCACACTCGGTGCCGTCACAACACTCTCTGGTAGATTGTTCCAAGAGTTTACAACCCTCGCTCCGAAAAAGTTTGCCCTCTCGGTTTTCTGGACTTGCGGCTTCTTCAATCTTGAGCTGTGACCCCTTGTGGGGCGAGCGTCCGCCAGCTCCAAGTAAGGACACTCAACTGAGTAGTGCCCCCTGAGATGCTTATACACCTCAACTAGGTCCCCCCTTGCCCGTCTGTAGTATAAGCTAGGCAAGTTCGGGCGCTCCAATCTCTTAGGGTAGCTGAGGTGCCGAAGTGCAGGCACCAGTCTGGTGGCCCTCCTTTGAACACTTTCAACCAACTGACAGTCCCTAGCATATCTCGGGGACCAGATGGGGTGACAGTACTCCAGATGGGGAAGCACTTCACTCCTGAAGATCGTTACGAGGGACGGACCGCCTAGATATCTGAACGACCTTCTTATAAGACCCAATAATTTATTTGCCTGATTTACCTTCTTCTCGCAATGGCCCTCAGTTTGTATAACCAGCCATTTGAGAAGACTCATTAAATAAGTGAAGATGACTTCATGCAGTACCTCATTTTAAATATATTTTACGAAAAAAAAGAACAAATATTGTTCACAAAAACTAGGTTTGGCAGATGAAAAAGAGCATGAACAGTATATCTGTATTTGTTCGTACAGTACAGCACACGTAAATATTGATAAAACATAATCACGATTTAGAATCAGAATAGCCCAAGAGAGCCATTAGAGTCTTAGACGTTAGTTTTCTTGGAGGTCCTTTTGTGAGGATTACACGTCTGGTTGGGGTTGAGGGGACTGTTCGATTAAACAATTAAATTCTATCAAGAACAACAGGGGGATCCTACAGGTCACTGGCCTTCTACCCTCGGCATAGCCACCTCTAGTTTGCGTTTAGGGTCTAAATATGAAATTAAAATAACGACATTTAATGTGTTAATGTTGAGAAACTGATATTATGAAAACAGGTTTATGCGGCCAGAGAAAAACGACTGTAACTCGGTCACGTTTATTCAGACCAATGTCCACTTTTCCTGATATGACTGATACAGTACCGGGTATTATTTTGGGGGGCATAAGGACCACGAGGGAAATAATTCTTCTGACAAAATTTTTGTGTTGTCATTGGAGTTCTGTTAAATGAATTCCCAATAAAATCAATTAATTAAAACCGCTTTTATAGTCTATACTACTACATTTTTTGCATGGGTTTTGCGTATTACTACTACTACTATTACTACTACTACTACTACTTTTTTTTTTTTTTTTAAACGTGGCCTCCAGCCTCCCCCAATAGCCACACCTTCGCCACCATTTATTTACCTTAATATTAAATATCCTAATACATAAGAAGCTATCCTATCTGTGTTAAATTAGTTGAGCCGCAGATCTATGCGGCATTCAGTGACTGTAGCCTCATAGTCAATATCTGCAGCAGTTGTCGGAGTAGGGGCAGAAGCTCTCGTTCCCCTGAGGCAGAGCAAAGCCGACCGAAGGAGAGAGAAGGACAGTCGACATCTCATCCAGGCTGTAACATAACTTCTGGGCTGCTGCTTCTGTTCGGAGATCAACTCCGCGAGTCTGGCGTAGAAACATCTTGCACTTGGGCCCATCCCACCAGAGGTTGTGAACACCAGAGGAGTGAAGCTGCCTTGATCAACATTTTGAATTCTCTCCCCATATGCCCTTCTCTTGTCGTTCTCGTTCCTCCTATGTGCGGCATCGAGAGCTAGGTTACGGTGACAAGCGGCCATGGGATCAAAAATCCTGATGTCGAAGAAAGCTCGCTGTCCACGCGTCCACCTACTACTACTACTACTACTAATTATAATAATAATAATAATAATAATAATAATAATAATAATAATAATAATAATAATAATAATAATAATAATAATAATAATAATAATAATAATAATAATAATAATAATAATAATAATAATAATAATCCCTCTTAAGTATCTGACAAACGAATAATTTAAACTTTATGAAATTCCTTATTTAAACTTTACTGTCCAAGAGTGACCCGCCAATAAGTGGAGGATCATAATCGTGGTAAATATTCAGCAAATATTAATTCGCTTCGCATCAAGTCGCAGGATTTTTTGCTCCGGAAAGATTAAAAAAATCTATAAATGTATTAAAGGTGGATACTGCTGAGTGTGTTGTAATATAATAACGATGTTTTAAGTTACTTTTGTTTTCATAAACGTCTAATACTAACACAGTAAACCCTCAAACACTAGACGACATAACAAAGAACTTTATGTACGAATATGACCTAAGCTGTTGCGTCGCCAGGGATCTAATTGCCACAACTAATTAAACGATCTCGATAAGTCAAAAGAAACTAACCTCTTTGTGCAGGAGAGCCATCAACAAGTGGATTAATCAGTCAAAAGCAGTTAGCAATTCCACCTGTAACAGTGTGTTTAAGAACAATAATGGTCTGATAATTAATATTAAATGGACTACGTAGGTCACTTGAAGAACACGCTTATTATCTTACAACAGAACGTCGGAGCAATAACCAACACCTTGATCATAAACGCTAATCTAATCCACATTATCAAGAACCTGGGCCTTAATTTTGTCAGCAGTGTATAAGGCTTCTCTCAACACACACACAGAACTGAACCAGAAAATAATGATATAATTGAACGACATTTACCATCACCACCACACTCTGTCAGACGTGTTCTATCCTCTGGTTTATGGGTTGTCTGTCATCAGCCTCTCCAATCACCGTCTGAACTGGGCACCTGGGCATTTACGTCACTAAATCTTATCTAACCAAACCTCATTTAACCTTACGAAACCTAATCTAACCAAGCCAAATCTAACCTAAGCAAACCTAATCTAACCAAACCTGATCAAACTTAACCTAAGCTGACGAAACTTGATAAATACCTCACCATACGTAAGTCATCTTCTCACTTTACCTGTGGAAACTGGCCATTTAACCTGATATAGAGATGTCAGATAAAACAGAGTAGAAAATTCATTAAGCCATATTTGAACTTATTGAATTGCTTCTACCTTTCTCTACCTCATCTGCCCTCTCCCTCTACCTCACCTGCCCTCTCCCTCTACCTCTCCTGCTCTCTCCCTCTATCTCACCTGCTCTCTCCCTCTACCTCACCTGCTCTCTCCCTCTACCTCACCTCCCCTCTCCCTCTACCTCACCTGCCCTCTCCCTCTACCTCACCTGCCCTCTCCCTCGGCCTGCCTGCCCTCCTCCCATCCCACCTGCCCTCTCCCTCTACCTCACCTGCCTCTCCTTCTACCTCATCTGCCCTCTCCCTCTACCTCACCTGCCCTCTCCCTCTACCTCTCCTGCTCTCTCCCTCTATCTCACCTGCTCTCTCCCTCTACCTCACCTGCTCTCTCCCTCTACCTCACCTCCCCTCTCCCTCTACCTCACCTGCCCTCTCCCTCTACCTCACCTGCCCTCTCCCTCGGCCACCTACGATTAATTACGCACCAGGTGATGTGTGTTCTGAGTGTCAACATCTTTGCTGGTTTTATTGTAAATTAATGGGTTTAAGATTGGATTGAGTTTGTGTAATATATTAACTTTTTTTAATTGACTCAGCAGTACTAATTCGTATATTTTATTCAAATGATTTTTTTCTCACATGTAGCTTTTGAGAATTATATAAGATTTGCTTCACTTAATGCGTGCGGTAAGTGGGCACAGGGTGGTGAGTGTGTGCCCTAAATACCCTGAAATATTCATGCATCCCTCCCTGCCTTGTTGGCCTTCAAAGCATAAATCTAGATCTGGGGTGAAGATGAAAGGAAAGTATAAACACGTTTGTCCACCGCCACAGTTAAACTTTTTACTCTGTTTGAGAAATACATTTTCACCTCTAAACGAAAAGTTCAGGAGTACACAAGACGGTGTCCTTAGTTACAGGTTTGTGTTCACTTCACGACTTAGGTAGTGCGTGCGTGTGTCATACTAATGTTAATTAGAGATAATCAATAGTGGTAATTAAATTTTTTCGGAAAAATCAATGTGTATTATCTATAGAGGTAACTGTGTAGATATTCCTTATACAGGCTATAAATTGTTATATGTGGATGGTGGCAGACAATATCACCGCACAATTCAGGAAAATAATTCCAACCAGAGGTGGTAACCCCTGTGAATAATATGTCTAACCTAGTCTATCTAAGGTTTGGTTAAGTTGTGACAGCAAACGATGTCGTAAAAGGAACATCATATTTGATTATATATAAACTAATTTTCATTATTTATTACATTAAAAATTATTATCAATATGGCGAAACCCCCAATTTCATTTTAAGGCTGATAACTTATCCTTGTTTCTTAATAAACATACTAAGTCATCAGTCACCAGCCAACAGCAATGGTCATTATTTATGGCTGGCCATACCCCAGTCTCAGGTGACATCTAGAGCGGGGAAGGTTTGGTCCACCTCAGACGAGGGAAACTTTCACACAAATTACTGGGGCGGTAAGGTTGATGTTCGTATTATATAATATTATAGCGCGGGCCTTATACAACATATGTAGTATTATTGTATTGTATGCTGGTGGAGGGAGGCTGCCTGGGCCAGTACACCTTGAACTGGTCATAATGTCTCTATGTGGAACACCGCTGAAACAAAGTCATTCATAAACACATTTACCTCCAGCTCTGCCCTACGTCATAGATTACTGAGACCACTTTTGTCTTCACGTATAAAACTATAAATTATTATCAGGGTAAGATTAATAGATACGACATTAATGAATACCGGAATAATGATCTTGATCGTTGGGTCATTCACCACCACTACCCCACTACTACCACCCCCCATCACCACCCCTCACCACCACCACTACTATCCTCTCCACCACCCCCACTACCACCACCACTCTGACGGTCACTATATAAGCTGGGTCCTACAGATGACAGGTACCAGTCACCAGACTTCAGCTCTCCCACACTCACCGAGAAACACTGCAACATGAAGAATGTGAGTGTCAACCACGCCAGGACTCCTCCCTTAACACACTATCACCTAAACTCACTATCACCTTAACACACTATCACCTTAACACACTATCACCTTAACACACTATCACCTTAGCACACTATCACCTTAACACAATATCACCTTAACACACTGTCACCTTAACACACTATCACCTTAACACACTGTCACCTTAACACACTATCACCTTAACACACTATCACCTTAACACACTATCACCTTAACACACTATCACCTTAACACACTATCACATAACACACTATCACCTTAACACACTATCACCCTTAGTACACTATCACCTTAACACTATCACCTTAGTACACTATCCACCTTAACATACTATCTTGTAACACACTATCACCTTAGCACACTATCACCTTAACACACTATCACCTTAGCACACTATCACCTTAACACACACTATCGCAGCAATTGCACTATCACCTTAACACACTATCACCTTAACACACACTATCACATAACACTATCACCTTAACACACTATCACCTTAACACACTATCACCTTAATTTGCTATCACCTTAACACTATCACCTTAACACACTATCACCTTATACACTATCACCTTAACACACTATCACCTTAACACACATATCACCTTAGCACTATCACCTTAGCACACTATCACCTTAACACACTATCACATAGTACACTATCACCTTAACACACTATCACCTTAGCACACTATCACACTTAACACACTATCACATAACACACTATCACACACCAACATACTATCACCTTAACACACTATCACCTTAGCACACTATCACCTTAGCACACTATCACATAACACACTACCTTAACACACTATCACCTTAACACACTATCACCTTAACACACTATCACCTTAACACACTATCACCTTAACACACTATCACCTTAACACACTATCACCTTAACACACTATCACCTTAACACACTATCACCTTAACACACTATCACCTTAACACACTATCACCTTAACACACTATCACCTTAACACACTATCACCTTAGCACTCTATCACCTTAACACACTATCACCTTAGCACACTATCACCATAACATACTATCACCTTACTCTTACCTTAGGAGCTCAACACGGATCAGTGAACACAAACGGTACGTTCGTGTTGTTGACATGGAAACGGAATGGACATCAATAATTTACCTACTCATGGTCGTGACGCAGATATTGATGTATTGCATTGTTCTCATCCTTTACTGTGACCTGTTGGAGATCAGGTCATGCAAATTTATATTGACAACGCTCGCTAACATCTACAACTCAACATTGACAAAATTAATCGTATTTTCTGAACATATATATAATTTGTCTAATCATATATAAATTAATTTAGATCTCGACTATATGACTCAATTTAGAATTCATGATGATCATTATATATTTCAAGACCAAAGGAATAATCTTTTTGTTGTGAAAAGTTTACTGTCACTGTAACATCACTAAAGATATTCATAACAAGTTTTCTATCAATAAATTTAGAATGAGACGATTGATGAGATATTGCTGTTCAAGATGTAATGAATTTATCAGATTTACACTTTAATAACAATGATAATCATCTCTGACAATGCAGTAGTGAAGGATCCTGTTGTCAGTATTGTGACAATTCCTATATCAGTCTTACCACCTGTCACACTATACAACTATCATCACACTTGTCTTCGTTAACTAACTAACTCTCCCTTTATCCTCTCTCTCTCCCTTGGTTCAGCTGGTACTGTTTACCTTGTTGGCTGTAGCGGTGGCAGACAAACCGTCTGCCCACTACGGAGCGCCATCTGGTTCTGGTCCTCTGATCGCTATCCTCCGAGACGACCGCGTGGCTCCTGACGCAGCGGGCTCCTACTCCTTTAACGTAGAGACTGAGGACGGCATTTCCAGGCAGGAGTCTGGCGGTCCCGGCGGCACCCAGCAGGGTTCCGTAAGGTGAGCCACACTCAGGATGCCATAAGCAAGGTGCGAGAGCCACATACCACCTGTCAGAAGATGACCATTTTGTTTATTAATTAAGCTCTGAAAAGACTATTTCATGTTTATCTTCGTCCGTCACTCTTTCCTCCATTCATGTGTCTGCAGTTTGTTTAAGATAATTAAGTAGAACAGCTTCAATATCAAGATTTCACACCAACTTGCGTCTGCCATACCCTCCACACTCACACGAAACAGGTGAAACACACACACACTAACTTATAACTAAGCGTTTTTACAAGTCCTTGAGTATCATGTCAACTCTCTCAGTACAATAAACTAGACCATTAGGTAAAACATCTTAGATCCTTAAGTATAATGGTTAAATCCCTTTGAGTAGGACAACATTGCACTAAAGAAGTTTTGTAATTGATTTTAATTCAATTATTTACCAAGTTGACTCTCTAGTAATTTCACACAAAACAAAGCTTCTCTGAAGCTTCTCTAGTCGTTTAATGCACGACCTGACTGTTCAGATGTATAAGCCAATTTTCTGGTACAGCTCCTTAGTTACAACATTTACTCTAATTCTAAACGCTCTTGGTGTTCTTGGAATTCTGTTCTGTGGACCGGATTTCAACTTTAATAAAGTTCTGTTATATAGATAAACTAGCTTCCTTGGTCAACCAGGTCATGACTACCTGCCTCACACAACACTCCGCAGGTCACTAATTCACTTCCTCTCTCCCACAGCTTCACTTTCCCTGACGGACAGGTGTTCGACCTGAAGTTCGTCGCTGACGCCGCTGGTTACCAGCCTCAGTCCTCCTTCCTGCCAGTGGCTCCCGCCTTCCCCCACCCAATCCCTCAGTTCGTGCTGGACCAGATCGCCTTCGCAGCTGAAGAGGACGCTGCTCGTGCCCGTGGCGAGTCTAAGGGGCCCTCTGGCCGATATGGTGCTCCCTCCAAGTAACAACTCTGCCCTCCATTTCTGCTGCCAATGATTCCTCCTCTGCATATCATTTGTTCATGGGTTCTTCCCATAAACATTCTGAAGCAATCGTGAGCCTCGCCTCTCCTACCGTGCAATGTTCACCCAAAATGACAAGAGTTCCTGAGTGTTCGTCAGTAGTGCCGCTCATGTGACAACTATCTTGCCGGGTGTTCACTTGGTGCGAGGATTTGAGAGTGAGGTTATCTGAATGTGTTACTTAAGTCTTAATTTATATTTGTATGACAGTGTATGCACGAAATAAAGCATAGCAAAGTCCACTTAGTTGTTTAGTCACTTTCCAAATTGTATAAATTGGGTTCACCAGAAGTTAAAATCATTTCATTTGTCAAATAAACTCACTATTGTGGGTCCTGCTGATGTCCGTTGCCATAATTCATGACAAAATCCTTAATAATATTTTACACAACACAAAGTCGCTGCATCGGTTTGGTTTTGAAGCAGAACAAGTCAGGATGGATGTCTCGTGAGATCAGGCATATACACTATCACAGCGTCTTATAAACAAACTGTTCTGAAATTATGGAAGACGCAACATCTTATAGCTGTTGTAAGGAAACTCAAATGTGGTGGATGGTGCACCTTAAATACGTTTCAGGGATCACACAAGTATAGTGACCGTGGGACTGATGGTGTAATCACTACTCATTTTCCAATAAAATTATAATAGTGAAACTCGTATTTTCTCTTGGTAGATCATTTTTTTTACCCATATGACCCACAGTCTTGTGATAGTAGTATAAACCTGCAGCACTCCAGTTCACGTCTCGAGGTGATCAGTTCAAGGTGTTCTGGACCAGAGTTCTTAACAATATAATCCCTGTTCTGCATACATCTAAAAGAGTTTCAGTAATGATTAACATCTGAGACGAGTTCCTCACATCTTGACACCTGCCATATACCCGAGATGACCTACAACTGTAACATCAACTTATTTTCCAGGAGTAAGGAGTTGTTTCACGGGTCCACAGCAATCACGACACACTTGGTGGACCCCGTGCGTGCTTGCGTGTAAGAATACATTAATAGTGTTCCCATGTAAGCGAAATTCACTAGCGTCATGTTAACTGGGAAACCTTAAGGTGGCTCCTGGTAGAAAATTAATTTATCTTCCCAAATTTGTTTCTTGTCAACTATGACCCCTGGGGTGACCCCTTAACCTTACGGGTGAGCCTAACTCTCTCCCGATCATAAAAGATAAGTGAGAGTTTTCTTTTATTGCGACTCGGGGTCATTAATTGGCCAAGCAACGAATAATTGACTTTGATTATGCACTGCACAATATTCTCACCAACTTAACGAAACTTCAGATGTAGAAGAGGAACTTAACATAATAAAACAGGGTATCGTAGGTGTAACTAAGTCAAGTCTTCACCCAGCAGGTTATTCATCATTTCGAGACTCTTCACTCAGTCATGATGAATCACCCTAATGTTATAGACGACGTAAGGACGGTCATGATCCTGAAGCAGAAGTACTGACCGTTCCTCCTAGTGGTGTCGAGGTGAGTAGCTGTGCATTGACTCATGTAGAAGAAGAGCGAGATTTGTGAGCTAGACAGAACCTGTTTATTTTATTTTTATTTTTCTAACAATGAACGGTGTCCATAAATGGAGACGACTGGAAATACTTGATGTTCCACATTATTAATAAATGATACACATTCTACCATCAACTGTCATCTCATGTAAACCACTTTTTGTGTGTCGATACTTACAGCCAGCAAAGGTTGACGCACGCTGAGGGTGAGTGAGAGTCTCTTCACCTGTGTAACTCACACTAAGGGTAAGTGTGCGAATGTCTTCATCTGTGTTCCTCACGCCGAGGGTAAGTGTGAGTACCTTCACCTTTGTACTTCACAATGTGTGGATGCCCAAGATGATGACAGAGTCTGAGTGTGTTACGTGGGAGGAAAATCTCCCTGACCTTCACTTTTACATGACGGTGATGTCTGGGAAGTTGAGCAACCACGGTTGGGGGACATTTTGCTGACCATCTGGCACAGGTGTTGGTTGTCGTATGATATTAAAAAACATAAAGAACGGTTTCATTATGTGAATGAGAAATAAATTATTTGCATATTTAGACAATTATTTATTTGCTCATAATGAAGTTGTTGCAATGACTTATGAGTGTTGTACATTACAATTTATTTAGTTTGTAGAGGAAAAGCCGAGAATCTAGGTGCTGTATAAACTTTATTGTTTATAGATAATTTTTAGTTATAATAAATAAATAAATAAATAAATACACTTAGACTACAGATACACTGAGCTTCACATACACCCAACACAAACGGACAGGATCTCTGGAGGACTTGTGCCGTTAACTCAAAGGGGAGTGTAGTGTGTTCGGTGACGTGACGCTCACTACTGCTACGAAATTCTTGTTTGAGTAATTCATGAATGATTCATATTTAAAGGGAGCGTTAGTAACAGAGATGGAAGGCGGTTGACGCTGGAAGGCTTTTCCTGAACTGACGTCAGCGACGAACTTCCGTCGAACATCCCAGACACTTTTTACTAATACGTTTAACTGCACTCCTTCTACACTTGTTAACTGTGTAGTTCAGTAGTTGAGGTTAGGTTCGTTACATTCAGGAGGACGCAACTAAAGGCATATAGGAAGCCACAATTTATAGAGAAACGAGGTTAATGAACCTTTTGAGCACACACACACACCCACACACACACTGGTGTCAAATACTATGCATGGTAACCCTGCAGCTTATATGACAAAGTATAATCCTGACATAATAATTCATACAAAAATACACAATGTACAGTCACTTATGCAATGTCGTAGACAAGAATAACTCCCAGGCCAGATAATACAAGATTTTAGTTTTTGCTGGATATAAACAGTGACACAAATCGTGTTTATGAGCATCAATTACAATCACCGACCCACGACCTGACTTACCTTACGGAACCCTGCTGGCTGCCGCCGGGACCGCCAGACTCCTGCCTGGAAATGCCGTCCTCAGTCTCTACGTTAAAGGAGTAGGAGCCCGCTGCGTCAGGAGCCACGCGGTCGTCTCGGAGGATAGCGATCAGAGGACCAGAACCAGATGGCGCTCCGTAGTGGGCAGACGGTTTGTCTGCCACCGCTACAGCCAACAAGGTAAACAGTACCAGCTGAACCAAGGGAGAGAGAGAGGATAAAGGGAGAGTTAGTTAGTTAACGAAGACAAGTGTGATGATAGTATATAGTGTGACAGGTAGGTAGTAAGTGGAGGCATAAGACTGGAAATGAGCCATCAGCCCTCACAGTAGGAGCCGCACCCTCACCAACTTCATAAGTTTTGTTAATACTTCACGAACTATCTCCTGATAATAAACAAAACATTAATTATCTAGATTTAGTTATATGTGTTTATACAGAGATTATTTGAATGATTATTACTGCATATGAAAAATTTTAATTTCAGAATGCTGTATGTACTGTAAGATTATGTAGTGTGTTAGTATTAATATAATAATGTGTTAAGGTGACAGAGTGTTAAGATGACAGAGTGTTAAGGTGATAGTGTGTTGAAGTGATAGTGTTAGGGTGATAGTGTGTTAAGGGAGGAGTCCTGGCGTGGTTGACACTCACATTCTTCATGTTGCAGTGTTGCTCGGTGAGTGTGGTAGAGCTGAAGTCTGGTGACTGGTGCCTGTCATCTGTAGGACCCAACTTATATAGTGACCGTCATAGTGGTGGTGGTAGTGGGGGTGGTGGACGACCCAGCTGTCGACGCTGCCAGCAGAAGTAATCTTGAAAACTTTATCTTCCATAATATTTCCACTGCTTAATACTATAATATTACCTTGATGATATGTGAAATTATATTATCTAATTCATATTGTAATATTTTAACTACAAAAGATAGAGTGTTACTAATTAATGGTATTTCACAGTTGTTTTTGGTTATTGAGACGGTCTTAATAGTTCAAGGTGTACTGGAACAGAATCCAGAGCTTGACATTTTCAGTTCACGATACTTGGGGTGATAATATACAATAATATTCCTAAACTAGGGAGAATATCGATAGTTATGTTACCGAGGAAAATATGTTTGATGATTTCAGTTATAAGTACAACACAGATTGAAAGTCATCATAAAAATCTATATTTCTTGAAACTTTTATCTTCCAATGTATGTGTGTGTGTGTGTGTGTGTGTGTGTGTGTGTGTGTGTGTGTGTGTGTGTGTGTGTGTGTGTGTGTGTGTGTGTGTGTGTGTGTGTGTGTGTGTGTGTGTGTGTGTGTGTGTGTGTGTGTGTCTCAGACATTATGAAACTAACTAATTCTTGCTTAACCTAAACTAATCTTACCTGATCTAAGCAGTTTAACCTAGCCTAGTCAGCTTAACCTAAGCTACCATAACATAAACAATTTAACCATAACTACTTAATCTAACCACTCTAACCTAACCACCTGATCTATCTTTAAACCCACCTAAACTAATGTAGCCAACCTCATTTAAGCTCATCTCACCAAACTAACTAATCTTAAACCAACCTAAGACTAACCTAACCTAGATTCGGTTCGATTAGGTGTGGTATAATTACACTGATTGGTGTCGTCTACTTTCAAATACCAAAAGAAACACATATCAATGGTTCTGAGTTCATTTCATCATAATTTTCTCCACGATTCTCATATCACCGGTAAAACCTCGTCACTTGAACTTTACCAGCCAGTTGTGCCAGAAGGCAGGTTCATGTAAAGTACTAATACAACACATACTGAAGTTTATGAGGCACTAACTAGCCTTACCTGTATTTGAAGGTAATATTTCATCAATTATAGGTAGATTCATACAAACCAAACGAAAGGTACGACTAAAATTTCGTTCTTTTGGGTAAATTTTGTGAGTTTTCATTCGCTACTGTTCAAGTAAAGTGATCAGGGGTTCGAAAATGGGTAAGTAATCAGGATTAAAATCAGTCAAGGATCAAAATATGTATTGAGGATAAAAGGAAAAAATTATCTAAATCAGAAATGAATCTGGGGTTGAACATCAATTAGCGACAAGATAGGGGCGCGGAGGACAAGTTCAAAATCACCGGTGAGGGCGAGACGGTAAGCGAGCTACGGGTGGTGAGAGGCTCAGAAATAGAGTTGGAAAGGTCACACAGAGATTCAGGAGTAAGAATGAGGACTTGAAGCTCTAAATAATGGCCAATGAGCAATAATTGAAGAACTTTATAAGAACAGGGAGAGAGAGAGAGAGAGAGAGTTTCTTAGGTAGAGGGATGGAAAAAGCTTTTAGA